AGGAATCTGAATCACAGTCCTCAACCTCCAGATTAAGATCTTTTTTTTCCAGGTTTTCCTTACAAGTTACTGAACTACTCTACTAAGAACAATCCACACGTTGTCAATGTTTTCTTTCAGCCACACCTGACTTTCATTTCACAGTCTCCTTTACACCATGGAATTACTGATAGAACCAATGGAGGAGTTACCCAGATTAAAATAACTAGTCCTGTATCAATCTACTCATTTTGTTGTCCCCCAAGAAAACCACACACACACACACACACACACACGTCAATTTTGAAAAGCCTTTTTGAAAATGTATGTAGCTGGGCACCAACACAAAGAACATAGAAACAACGAATTGGGAGTCTCTCATATCAATACTAGGAAAAGCACAAGGTAAGAGCTTATAGACAGAGGAGTAATCACAATACCATTCACATATGAAGAACTTTGGCAATCTATTCAATTCCAAATATATTCAAAACAAGAATAAAGAGGAAGCAAAAACATGCAGAGAGTAAACAACACGGTGCATGTGGAAATTATGGACTCTTGGAGCAGGGCCATACCCATGCTTCTGTTTAGTTCCTGTGGTGGCTTGCACATTGTGTGAACCTAATAGAAAATAACAAAATGGATAAATTAAACCAATGTACAAAAACAAAAAAAGTCATTATTTTGTAAATGGTGTAGGCTTCCTGGGAGTAATGTGATAGTGTTCTTTATAGGACACACTTCCCGTGAATAATAAGACACACTTCCCGTGTTTCTATAATTCTGATTTCACACGAATGTGCGTATACAACATATATCACAGGATCACGTAGGAGTAACTGTTACTGTCCTGAGGTAAAGCACTCACAGCAGTCATTTGCTGAGGACATGACATATTTTGACCAATTCCTGAACAATAAAGTCTTCACACATTATAGACAATCTTGTCAGCATGACCTCTGATCTTTCCGACTTCTAAAATTCTTCATTACTGCCTTTCTAGCTGTTGTATGAACAGTGGGTGGCATTATAAGAAAGCTGGTTACTGCTGTGATTTTAAATTGCTGAAAATTGAAGAAATGTGCCTCATGCTGACAATTTGTTAATCAAAAGCTGTCATTTCTAACCTTACAGCTTCAGCTCATTTTATAAAAAGCCAGGCACATTTTTCCCGTATGCCATGTTATAAATCCTCCCTTCAATGAGATGGATGCTTTTCCCCTAAGAATAGAAAGGTTTTATGGGTTCATCATGAGGCTACATCCCTTCTAATGAATCAACTACCAGGCTGTAAAGAACATATTTTAGTCTATCTTTCCTATTTGTCATATCCGTTTTAGAGGAATCCCCAGATCTGTGCTGATACTGAACTCTTGTAAGTTTATCAGAAAAGCATTTCATTACTTAATTTTATTTTTTAGGAAAATTAAGTGATTCTAGCTCCTGTTGATACTTTTAGTAGTTAGCATTATTAAAGCCTCAGAGCATTTAGCACACGAGGCTATGCCAAGTGCGATTTTGATATATAAAGATGACGACTACCAGAGCAACCACACTTCAGAGCCAGAAGGGAATTAAGAAACTACAAGGCAGACACAAGGCATTAAGGCTTCTAAAACACAGGGGACATGACACCAATACTAGAAGACATCATGACAGTTCTGGATTTTTCCCCACAAAAGGGGACATGGGAGTGAGTGGTACTGAAGCCCTATCCCAAATCCACCAATTTGAATCTTCAAAGAGGCCCTACCCAGAATACCACCTTCTATCCTGTAAAAGGATGGGCCCTCAGAAAGAGAGGCTGCCTGCATTCACACCTGAGTGTGTACTATTCCTTTAAATAAATCCTGCTCCTATATACCTTTATGCTTCCCCCTTGCATTCTTTTATCCTGTCTAGGGAACAGTCTGATACAGGCCCAACTGGGGGTCCAGTTCGCCACAACAACTCCATCATCAAAGAACAATCAAAAGCAAAGATATGATAAATAGGCACTAACATCTCTCATAGATCTCTCTCTCTCTCCCCCCCACCCCCATCTTTCACACAGACACACACACACACATGACATTTCAGTCTTTGAGAACATTTGAAGATGTTAATCAAGATTTAATTTTATTTCCATTTGGTCAGACCCAGAAATTCCTAAATAGTCATAAAAGGGGGGGTATGGAATATCAACGCGAAAAGATGGCATCACTGTAGCAGCGCTTACTTTAAAACATTGGAAATATAATGAGTAATGGCTAATTAACATATGCAAGTGCCAACATGATGCCAAACTCTTAATGAGGAAAATACTTGTTAAAATGGAAAGACAAAAAAGCTACAACTGTTAAACACCCTATGCATTAAATACAGTTAGAAGCAAATATAACTGAAATAATAAAAGTTTTGCGAAAGAAACAAAGGAAACTCACTGAGACTTTTCAAAACCAAAGCATTAGTATTAAAATTAAAGAGTGAAGGTGAGATTTGAAACTGCAGCAACAGAAACTGTTTTTGCAATATTCTGCCAAGATATCATTACTAGTTTTATCTTTCCACTAATGTTAACTTACATCAAAATTGTCAAGCAGCTGGATTAAGAACACTGCAGACAGAGGAACCAGAGGTTGGCAGACAATTTAAGAAATATTGATCTTAACTTACTTTTATGCTTTTCCAATTAGATTTCAGTTTGATCAAGTATTTAGTGGTCAAGAACAGCATTTTTTTTTTTTTTGACAGGCAGAGTTAGACAGTAAGAGAGACAGAGAGAAAGGTCTTCCTTCCGTTGGTTCACCCCCAGAATGGCTGCTACAGCTGGTGCGCTGTGCCAATCCGAAGCCAGGAGCCAGGTGCTTCCTCCTGGTCTCCCATGTGGGTGCAGGGCCCACGCACTTGGGCCATCCTCCACTGTCCTCCCGGGCCACAGCAGAGGGCTGGCCTGGAAGAGGAGCAACCAGGACAGAACCGGCACCCCAACTGGGACTAGAACCCAGTGTGCCGGCACCGCAGGAGGAGGATTAGCCTAGTGAGCCGAGGCGCTGGCCAAGAACAGCTTTTTTTAATCACACAGGCCATAGTCTTTGGTGTGCTCTTCCATCAAAGAAGCCATCACACAATCCACTAGATATTGACAGTCCGGTGCAGACACAAAAATAGACATGTAGACCAAAGGAATAGGAACAAAAATCACAGAAATTAATTCACACAATTACAACCAACTAATCTTTGACAAACGAGCTAAAATCATTCCCTGGAGATAGGATTCTCTTTTCAACAAATGGTGTTGGGAAAATTGGATTTCCACATGCAGAAGTATGAAACAAGATCCATACTTTTCACCTTATAAAAAATCAACTCTAAATGGATCAAGGATCTGAATCTATGACCTGACACTATCAAATTACTTGATGAAAACATTGGGGAAACTCTGCAAGACATTGATATAGGCAAAGACTTCGTAGATAAGACCCCAGAAGCACAGGCAATAAAGGCAAAAATAGACAAAAAAAATAGACAAATGAGATCACAGCAAGTTAAGAAGCTTCTACATAGCAAAGGAAACAACAAAGTAAAAAGGCAACCAACACAATGGGAAAAATGTTTAAAAACTGTGCATCTGGTAAAGGATTAATATCAAGGATATATATAGATAGAGTACAAATACACACATACACACAATAAACTCAAACAACAACAAACAAACCAGTTAAGAAATGGGCAGACATGAAAATATGAAAACTGGGCATTTTTTCAAAGCATGAAATACAAATGGTCAACAGACTTGAAAAAAATGCTCAAGATCACTAGCCACCAGGGAAATGCAAATTAAAGCTACAATTAGGTTTTACCTCACCACAGTTAAAATGGATATCACATAAAAATCAAAAAATAATAAATGCTGGTAAGGATGTGAAGAAAAAAGTACCCTAATATACTCTTTGTGAGAATATAAGCTAGTACAACCATTATAGAAGACAGAATTGAGATACCTCAGATCTGAAAAAAGATCTATCATATGACCCAGCCACCCCACTCCTGGGAGTTTACCCAAAAGAAATGAAATCAGCATATATACCTGTCAAATAAAAAGAAAAATACCATGTACTATTAAATTAGACGTTCCCAGGCTGATAATCTTGGAAAAAATGTACTTTAAAGCTAACAAAATATTGAAGAGAAGACAGCAGGATCTACAGGGGATTACTTAGATGTAACTTCTTTTTGTCCAGGAGTTGTCTATGCATAGAATCTGAATCTTGGTTTCCACACAGGCAAATCTCACTGGACTCCTTTTGGATGGTCCATAGATTAGAAGCTGACTTAAATTAGAGGAACAACAATTCTCTAACCTCACAATCATTCCAAATCAGAGGTATGAAAGAAGTCCATGAAGGGTTCTTTTTCAACGTTCTGTGGAACGTGGGAACATTAGAGAATCAGCTATTGCCCTGACAGAGCAGACACGGATCTCTAAAGCAAGCTTATCTGGAAAAGTCTCAAACCCCAGCCTGATAAAGCTTCAGGTCATCAGTCAAATCGCATCAGGCCCTTTGGAATATAGCAAGTCTGGAATGCCTTCATGTAGGTGCCATCCGGTATTGTCACAGTGTAGTGGGTGGATAATTCCTCTCAGAGTGGGAAAATGATATCTCCTGAAAATACAGCCATTCAATAATCTTTTCACAATGCTTAAGTAAATACATGGTATTAACTCTCTCAGTCCAAGGCAGTGAAAATCAAATCATGGTGAGGAAATCTCCAGTTATTTGCAAATAGCATTGCTCTGTAATAGATGAGGTGTGAAACAAGAGGAGAGAGAAGAAATGTTTTACAGATGTTAGCTTGGAGGTGTGCTATGACACATCAGTTTCTCAACTGACAGATATGGAAAATGTCTACTCCAGACCGTGCTTGATGGAAACATAACATAATGTAATACAAACAACATAAGAATTCACTCTGTAAGCTGATAGGTGATACAAACATGTAAGGTAACATGTAAATGAAAAGTTTACCATCATTACCTGTTTCCATACTTTTTCACTAAAGCTTCAATAGTTTTAGTAATTTGGCACCCATTACTGGTGAGTCCGCAAAGACTGAAAGATTGAAAAAAAAATAAATTTCAAGTCACTGATGCTTTTATTTAAAAAGAAGGATTTTATACCCAAAGATTGTCATTTATTAGTCATTTAAATAGCCTCAAAACAAAAATATTCAAAGAACGATTGTGTTTTCATAAATAATGCATGTTTATATAAATTTATGGATGAAGTCTGGGGTTTCAGTAAATAAGGCCAAATGCATAGTTTTATTTTTTGGATTTCTTTCCTGTTGCTTTGATTGTGCATTACAAAACATATTTTCATTTCAAAATATTTCATCAAAACTTTGCCGGTATCCAAATGGTTATGTAAAATACACACATACATGTGGTCACTTATAGTTTCCATAATCACACTCATACTAGTAATCCATGAATAGCTTCCTATGGAGGTGAATGAAGGAAAGCATCCAACAACATCATGATCATTACAGAGATTCTGTTTGGTCACTATTAGGCCAAGCTTCACCCAAAAACTGACAAAGAAATGAAATATAATGAAACACAATGAATCTTATATAGCTTTTGATTTTAGATTTATCACAAATTATAACAGAATATAAACACCATAATACTTAATGAAATATTTTCACAGTTGATGTACAAAATCAGAAAAGCTGAAAGAGAATCTTATCTCTGATACAAAAATTTATCATTAGTATAAACTCTTTGTGAAAAGGTGAATTTTAAGAAGCTGAAACATTCCTAAAATTTGGAGTTGATTCAATACAAAGCCCTTATTTTGAATCATTCTACATACAAGAGAATTTTTCACATTTACAAACATGATCAGAGGACTCTTTATAAAGTCACACATCACAGAAATGATAATCCTACATTATGGAGTACTACTCAGCTATATATATATACATATATATTTATATATATATATAGCTATATATTTTATATTTTATATATATTTATATGTAGCTATATATATTTTTTCTTATAAATATATATAAAAGAAAAGAAGCCCTTTTTGCAACAAAATGGATGCAATCAGAAGCCATTATACTTAGTTACATAATGCAGCCACAAAAAAGATAGATACCATATGTTTTCCCTGATCAGAGGTAACTAATAGAGTACCTAAAATGGAATGGAATGGAATTAAATGGGGATTTTGAGATTTGATGATTGCTTATACCCCCTGTCTCTTCTGTTGAGGAACAGTATTTTTTTTATTCATACTATTTGTTCAATTCTTTTACTTAGTGTAGGGTTAACTTTATGATCATTAAGTAAACTGAAAATTGATCTTTGTAAAATTAAGAGTGGGGATAGGAGAAGGAGGAGGAAGAAGGGTTGGAGTGTGGGAAGGAGGAAATGTAGGGTGGTAAGTATTACTATGTTCCTAAATCTGTATATATGAAATATATGAAATTTGTATAACTTAAATAAAACTTTTTTTTATTTGACAGATAGAGTTAGACAGTGAGAGGGAGAGACAGAGAAAGGTCTTCCTTCCATTGGGTCACTCTCCAAATGGCCGCCACAGCCACAGCTACACCGATCCAAAGTCAGGAGCCGGGTACTTCCTCCTGGTCTCCCATGCGGGTGAAGGGGCCCAAGCACTTGGGCCATCCTCCACTGCCTTCCCGGGCCACAGCAGAGAGCTGCACTGGAAGAGGAGCAACCGGGACCAGAGCCCGGCGCCCATATGGGATGCCAGCGCCACAGGTGGAGGATTAATCAAGCAAGCCACGGCGCTGGCCCCATAAATAAAACTTTTTAAAATGAAGTGATATAGCACTAATTCAGTGTGAGAGCATTTAAACACATAATTCCTTTATACATATCAACCATTATCTGATGAAGAGACCTACTAGTGCTATGATTTCATTTTTAAGTCTCTGTAAGTCAGGGCTTAGCTCTTGATTTTTGATATTATCAGAATAATTATGTCACAACCTTTAAGAAATTTAAGATGATGTTTTCATTTATTAGTGCATTCATATTAGAATTTTTTGGAGTATATTTAATTTTTGCTTTAAGTTTTAATTATATAATTTGGAATCATTTGTCAAGGAGTTGAATTAAAGTTGAGATATTCACTATTATATTCTTATTTTTCTGAAGAAAATAGAATACATCAGTATTTATAAATATATCAACTAATATACATACATTCAGACTAGCCAATATACTCAGAATATAATATACACATACATGTATTCATTGATGTATATTTTCATACATATAAAAGGTTTTTTTAAAAGATTTTATTTATTTATTCAAGAGGTAGAGTTACAGACACTGAGAAGGACAAAGAGAAAGGTCTTCCATCCACTGGTTCACTACCCAAACAGCTACAATGGCCGGAGCTGGGCAGATCCAAAGCGAGGAGCCAAGAGCTTCATCCAGGTCTCCCATGTGGGTGCAGGGGCCCAAGCACTTGGGCCATGTTCTTCTGCTTTCCCAGGCCATAGCAGAGAGCTGGATCGGAAAAGGAGCAGCCAGAACTAGAACCCAGCACCCATATGGGATGCCTGTGCCTCAGGTGGAGGATTAACCCACTACACCACAGCACCAGCCCCATATAAAATGTTTTATGACAATATTTATGTGCCACATTATGGATAAGGAATCCATTGCTTTTATCTGATTTGCAAAGAAACCATTTCCCTAATACTTTGGGAATTACTTCTCTAAACTTCCTTGAGACATACATGGCCTGCCACTTCAGTCTGTAAACAAAGATTTACTGGAAGATATTTAGAATAATTTATTTACATAGTGCCTGGGGCTGCTACAAAAACAGAATTGAGAAGTTATGACAGATTGTATGGCCTGCACACCCTAAAATATTACCTGTTTAAATCCTTAAAGATAAAAAATACTTTTTTTTTTGCTTTTGAAGGAATAACTTATTTTTAAAAAGTTGCTAGAATTTCTAAATCAATCATTTTCACCATTAGTATTATCATCCACTGTTATGCAAGATGACATTTAGTTTGTTTCTGGAAAGAATATTCTGAAGTGTGTGACATACCTTCACAACACTCCTTTTACTTGCACCTGCTACTAAGGAAGTTCTGGTTGAAAAGATCACATACTGTTTCAGGAGATTGTTTACAAAGCATCCCAAATCCTTACTGACACAGGAGGGAGAGGGTCCTCCTCTAATGTCTTCTTATTAACGAAAATTTGAAAACTGACAGGCAAGTTCTTTCTCCCTTTAACATAACGCAGATGCCTTTTTAAAAAGTTGTTACTTATTTATAATATATAATGGCCCTGAAGTTGTGGCCTCCAGGACTATTCCCCTGAACTCCATTTTTTTTTCTTGATACTTTATTTTTCATGTTAATGTAATTTTTTTAACTTTTATTTAATGAATATAAATTTCCAAAGTACGACTTATGGATTACAATGGCTTCCCCCCCAATACCGTCCCTCCCACCCACAACCCTCCCCTTTCCCACTCCCTCTCCCCTTCCATTCACATCAAGATTCATTTTCGATTATCTTAATATACAGAAGATCAGCTTAGTATACATTAAGTAAGGATTAATAAAAAGAGAATAGATTCAATGTAAAGATAAAACACTCTTATCCATGATCTGGTATATGCTCCATCTAGAAACCTGTGCTCATAATTGTGAACGGAGACAAACAGAGCTGACTCTGTAAATCCACAGCTCAAACGCAACCAAACACTAAGTTAAAAAAAAAATCCTCCCTATTTTCATTCTACAGGAAACAGATATAAGGCAAAAGTCAATCAGAATTCCATTGCTGTGGCTCCAATACAGGCCCTACTACTTACTACAGATATGTTTCAATTTTATAGCCTAAAACTGCTATTTTCCATCAAGAAAAATACTAATTTGTAGGCAGCAAAATCAGAACAGTGAGTTTCCTCTCAGGGTCTGGGTGGGAAGAGGCATAGGGTAGCTTTCTGGGGTCATGATAACCCCAGATGGATGTGGTAGGGTTTTAGAGATGTACGACTTGTTAAAACTCAACATATTGTACATTTATCTGCGTGCATTTCACTGATAAATTTTATCTCAAAATGGAAAAAAAGAAATTGTAATGTTGTATATACAGAAGTGACTTAGAGATGAAGTATACCCGTATGTGTATAATTAACTCACTTTGAAGTCTTTTTCTTTTCTTTTTTTTTAATAGAATGAGTTGATGAACAGGTGATGGAATGGGTAGATAGATAATGTGGTAATATATTGTGTAATAATAAAACCTTTATGGTGAGTATAAGCTATATAATTCTTTAAAGTTCTAGGTATATTTGAAACTTTTCACAGTAAAATGCTGATAAAATCCAGCCAAATCCTGATCAGGTCTTCAATCCACACCTGAGCTTTACACTGAGATCATTTTAGAGCAGCAGAGTTGGGAGATGCTGTTTTTTTCATCTCTGGTAAACCCAATTAGTGAAAATTGAGAATTATAAAACAGATATTTTGATACAAATATTCTTTTAAAAAGAATTTCACAGTTAATTTCAAGTGAGAATTTTTCCTGAATTTTGTTTATCATAATGCCTAATTTTCCCACTTAAAATTCTTACTTTGTCACACTTCAATCCCATTTTGCAACAATGGGGGAGTAAGTGGTTCTTTGCAAGCCAAGAAAAGAGCTTAAACCAAAAAACAATGTCAGCCAGACACTGAGCTTAAGATTTCTTAACTTCAAAACTATAAGAAACAAAATTCTGCTGTTTAAATGACCTAGTCTATTATATTTTATTATAGCAGCCTGAGCAAAGTAAAACATGTACCTTCAAGGTTTTCCCTTGGAGGCATTTCATATGAGGACAGACATTTGTGTGTATTTTCCATTGTCTCAGATGTGGCTCTTGATTTCCATCCCATTAACTGTTTCAACACAATTAAAGGCTAAAGTGGGTACATTAACCCCTACAGCTTCGAACCGTAACCAGAGGATTCCCAGTAGCGGCCCACGGCCCATGTGGCAACTCTCAATCTTTGGAATTCAAACGACCTATAGACGTATCTTACAGCAGGGCTG